TTGATGACCAATATACTGTGCAAGCTCTTTCTTGGCAATATAAAGATCACTTTGTAGTTCTTTGAGTCTGTGTTGAAGGATTGAGATCAGACCTACACATCCATAAACTGGATCACGGAGACGAGCTTCTGCTTCATAAGCGAGGGAATTAACTGCGTCTTCTCGTTGAGTTGTGCTAAGCTCGTTTAGAAGCTTAGCGACATTACTTGCCCCAAATACTCCATGAACATTTGCGAATTTCTGAGGCTGATCTGGTGGAAAGTACGCTGCAAAAACACATTCTTGAGTGCATTTTTGTCTTCGAAATTTGCAGGCTGCACATGGCGAGTTTGGTGATGACATTATTTTCCTTTCCTCTGTAAACTAAAACAAAAATCAAAACTTTAGAAGAGAAAAAGCTCAGCCAGTGGACCTAATATATAGGTAGGTAGACATTTTATGTAGGACATCATAATTACAAACGTACATGAAGAAGCCATAAAAAGGTGTGATTGATCACTGAGAAATATGCATGCACAGGAGATTCTGGGAAACTCCATTTACATATTCTAAGAAAAAGTAGGCGATTTTATGAATTTTTTTTCTATTATAAGTAACAATAATAAAGATTTCACAAATGATAATCAAATCAAAAGGAAGATGAAGAGAAACTATATATAATAGAAAAATTAATAAGAAAAGAAAAAACAAATCACATCAGAAAAAAAATAAAAATGGAAAGAAATAATGATCCGATAACTACTGAATGGGTCTAGATTAATTACCGGAAAATGTAAAAAAATGAATAGAAGAAGTGATCTTGCTAATCGTTTCTCTGTAAAAATCCGTTTCTTTGCATAGCAGTCTCTGTCTGCGTTGTTCCTCATCAATTCATCATCATTGTGAAAATGAAGAAAACTGTAAAAGGATCCTTGAAGATCTATTTTCCATTTTTAATTTTTCCCTGAAAAATAAAATTTTATTTTATTTTTTCAAAACCAAAAATCCACACAAATCCCTTGATCAACGCACTAAAACAGAAAGAGAAAGATCAAGCTATCCATATAAATATCAGCAGAAAGTTAAGGGTATAAAATGGGAATATAGAAATAACGGAAGCAGTAGTACAGATGGAAGTAAAGAACGTTTAATATTTTATAAAAAAATATTAAAAATATTTTATATGTTTAGTTTCTTGGGCTCTTACATATTATTTGTATGTTTGGTTTCTTGGGCTATTACAATCAATTTTATAAACCATAGTCGTGTGCATATCATTTAAACAATCATATCCATGATTACTAAGTTTCTTTCTTGGATAAAGGAATCTAGTCTGGAGTTGAGACTGCATGTAGTTGTGAAATGAAATTGTAAAGTTGCTTACCTCTTTTTACAGTGTCTGGATAATGGTTTTGCTAGGGTTGCTGCTGGTAGTTGCCTAGTACAAAATCCCGCTCTTTATAGCATCACTAATTAAAAATATGATTTATCCTTTCAATTTCATTTAATTTGTCAATGAAGTTTTTGCATTTTTTATGTCAAAGTGTGATTTATATAGTTAGACGAATATAACCATCGAAATAAAATCCGAATTTTTGTGTTTGGTGCGATAAAAAATGAAGCATTCAATTTTCAAATTTTAATATAACTAAATCAAATTATATTAAAAAGTGAATTAAATTCGCTACAATTGTTTTTAAGGTTGTCCTCTCTCTTCCGTTTTTCTGTTCTTGCTCGGATGTAATTGGAGGGTTCAGTAATGTTTTCCAACATCGAACCGAAGGTGCAAGAAGAGCCAAGTGCAGATCCACTTGTTTTCGAAGCGGCTCCAAAGAAGCGGAAGGTTGTATTTGCAGCCAATTTGTGTCAGGCCCAAATTCAGCCAACAAGATGCGGGAAAGGTGGCCCAATCTTTAAATTAGGCCTTGACCAATTTGAAAACCAAGAACGAAGCTTCAAGAATTTGCTGGAGAAAGCCCAAATCCTGACTCTTCTATGTTCTTCCACTACTGAATACACAAGAAATCACCAGAATCTCCTTCTGCTTCCTATAAATATCCCTTCCATTCTCCCTATTCCAGCATCGACAGCAAAAAGAAATTCGCAAGCTACTTTCTCCGCGATCAATCAAATCTTCTCTAAGCGATTCACAAATCAGAAATGGCTCTGATTCCAAGTTTCTTCGGTAACTCACGAAGCAGCATTTTCGATCCTTTCTCTGCTTTCGACGTTTGGGATCCATTCAGCGACTTTTCTTTCCCTTCATCTTCTTCGATCGTCTCTCGTGAAAATTCTCCTTTTATTAACACTCGCATAGACTGGAAAGAGACTCCAGAAGCTCATATATTCAAGGCTGATGTTCCCGGGCTGAAGAAAGAAGAAGTGAAGGTAGAAGTTGAAGATGACAGAATTCTCCAAATCAGCGGAGAGAGGAATGTGGAGAAAGAAGACAAAAATGGTACTTGGCATCGGGTGGAACGTAGCAGTGGGAAGTTCATGAGAAGATTCAGGCTGCCGGAGAATGCAAAGATGGATCAAGTAAAGGCTTCAATGGAGAATGGAGTTCTTACTGTGACTGTTCCTAAGGAGGAAATCAAGAAACCAGATGTCAAGGCTATTGACATCTCTGGTTAAGCGATTTGCTCTCTTGTAAATTCAGCTGGGGCTTGTTAGAGATGAAAAGAAAGTGTTGTGTGTGTGTTCGTTCTGAAAGTTACATGTATGTGTGATTATCTACAGCATTGTAGATTATATAAATAAATTATAATTTTGCAAGAGACGATCCTGTTCATTTGTTCTTATCCTTACTTTTTCTGTTAAGTTCAAAAGCAACAACCAACAAGAAATGGAATTTGTATCAGTGACAAGTATAGAATCATAATGCTTGGCTTTTTATAAGCCTGCGGAACAAATTTTTACACGTTTCTGCTTTGGCTAGTAAAAATTATCAGACTAGCAATAGCTCAAAAGCAATAAAATTGTCAAGAGTAATGGCTCATTTTCGATGTAAGAATTGTGACCTTGTCACCGACAAGTTTTGCAAAATGCATCCATTGCAGGAAATGGTGCCTGGAATTTATCTCCTCGGGTTTAAGAATCTACACATCTTGATTTCGCAAGATTCAAAGCTGTGACAGAATTGACAGCAAACATTCAATGTCAGAACTCCTTGAGCCCTCATTTTGGAATCAATCAGCCCAGTACAAGCAACAATAAGAATTTCCATCATTGAAAATAGGCCCACTGTATATATTTATACTAGCTCCCTCCAGTAGCATATTCGATGAGGACACCAGCTGCAGCGCATGGCTTGACAAGAAAACTCCCAATTCTGACATCTATGTGACCTTGGGCAGCTTGGTTGCCATGAATGAAGAGCCGCTAAATCAAGTTCTCGTTTAGGTGAAGGAAGTATGCAAAGAGTTAGCTAAAGAGCCAATTTGTGGATCTGAACGGATTGAATTGTTTCGTAAAAACTCCCTGAGAAATTCAGAGAAGCTGTGGGAGAGAGATTGCATTGTAGTATTGGCAACAAAGAGAAAAGTGCAGCACAAACTTCCTAGTATAATCGTCATAACTAGCACCAAATCACTCCCCCACCCTAGCACTAATGCTTCACAACAATCATAAGCAGCATATCCTATCATTTAAATAATCCAAGAATGCCATGAAATCCGCAGTCAAGGAATTAATATCCTATTTTCAGTAAGACCAATAAATATTTATATAAATTAAATCTAACACACATGGTAAAAGCCCATGATTTTAGCTTAATCAGTTAAACATACTTGCTTGAAACAGTATAACATTGTTTTTGTCGATTACTGATTACAGGATATGGCTGCGCAGGTTCAAGGGACTACCCATCATTGATTTGTAACTTACAAAGCCCTTATGCAATTGACAGAAAAAGTACTCAATTTAACTGCCTTGAGGAATCATTTCCAGGACAGCTCACGCAGAAATATTAAGCTCCAGTCTTTATTTATGATTCCACCGGTAAACTTATGAAGGAGGCTTATTACTCCATAATATCTTCATCGACTGTTAGCTTGTGAACAAACAATATATCAAATATATATATAGCTTGGGAAGCATGGCTTCCATAGATGAGAAGCAACTAATAGAAATGCTCCATTGCCTAGCTGAAACCAATGAGCCTTTCTTGTTCATAATAAAATCTAACTCATTTCATTGCTCGGAATGGATTGAATTTATATAAGGCTGCAAGAAACAGAGGTTTGATGGTGAAATGGGCACAACGAAGATCAAGTGTTGGCAAATCTGGGGAGTCGTTGCAGTTTTAATTCTAACAAAAGCTAACCTCAGCTTATGCAAGCATGTGAGACGTCGGTACCTGGCTAAAAAATTAGCAAATGAATTAGGAAGATTAGAAAGAGCAGTGATTAGTCTAGTGAGAAGTGCAGAAGAAAAGAAATGAAGCAAAGTGCGCTGAAATTCAAGAAGGAGATTAATGTTTCGCTGAAATTCCAAGATTCTTCCAATAGTTTTTTTTGAATGGTTTCATAGCATTTATTCCAGACAACGAACTTCTTCTAGCTTCTAGCTAATATTACATATAGAGTCGTAAGAGTGTAATAATGTCTTGAATGAAGTATTTTTGTTGCTCTAAGCAGGTGGCGTTTATTCGTTTTCGAGATTAATACCTCTAATTCTCATGTAAGTAAATATTCAAACTTTGGTTTCTTGATGCAGGTTGAAACGAGAACCATTTGTCAATCCATTCATTAGATTAACAAAATCTATAAATAACATAGCTTTTGATTTCATTAACTTGGATATCTACCCAAAAAAATACAAAAAAAAACCACTGCAGTACATTATGTTAAACATATCCACAGCATGACAACCATAATTTCATCAAACACTTTCAACATACCACAAAAACCCACTCCTCAAAACACACAAACACAGACAAAACATAAAGAACACTTTGACATTCGTTACATATTAGTAGGTACACTCTCGCACTAGAGGGATGACACTTGACTTGAAAATCCTTAACCAGAGATCTGAATAGCCTTCACATCAGGTTTCTTGACCTCTGCTTTAGGCACAGTCACAGTAAGAACCCCATTTTCCATTGAAGCCTTAACCTGATCTATCTTTGCATTCTCCGGCAACCTGAATCTCCTAGAGAACTTGCCGCTGCTACGCTCCACACGATGCCAAGTGTCATTCTTGTCTTCCTTCTCCATATGCTTCTCTCCACTAATTTGCAGCACTCTATCGTCTTCAATCTCTACTTTCACTTCTTCCTTTTTGATCCCAGGAAGATCAGCCTTGAAAACATGAGCTTCTGGTGTTTCCTTCCAATCTACGCGAGTACTAACAAAAGCAGAGGTTTCACGAGGGAAAAGCGAAGAAGAGGAAGAAGAAGAAGGAAAAGGGAAATCCTTGAACGGATCCCAAATGTCAAGAGAGAAAGGATCAAAGATGTTGGTCCTCCTGTTACCGAAGAAAGGAGTTAGCGACATTTTTAGCTTGAAATCGGAACAAGATCGCTTGAGTGCTCTGATTGCAGAGAACTTTTTCTGCAGTGGATAATGAATTATACCTTGACGAAGAGAAGATGATTTTCGTTATTTATAGTGAGTAGTCGGGGCATTCTAGTACATTCCAGCTATACTAGATTTTTCTAGTGGACTTGAAGAATGTTCTGGATTGTTTTTAAGCGCGTTTATTAAAGGTTATTGCCTGTGAAATGGTATGCTTTCTAGATGGATTATGGATCACTACAACTTGGAAGTGAAGGATGCTTAATGGGCCAGTAAATTAGCACAGTCGGCCCAAAACGGTATTCAAATCAATTTCAAAAAAAGAAAAGAAAATTTTTCGTTGGTTTCCAAAATTAAAAAATATTATTTTAAAAAGATATATGTTTTTTAATATTTTTTATTTCTTATTTCGATATAATAAAAAAATTATTTTAAAATATTAAAATTTTATAAAAAATTTAAAAAATTTGCTATTATAATTTAAAAATGTAAAATTGATAAGCTACTAGTAACATGATTGGTGAATTGATAAATATTTTTTATAAATGTTTGTTTAGCAATTAACTTCAATTTTATTTTAGAACAAGCACACACCTCTAGATAGAAAAAGTTGTTTTAAAGAACAGATGAAATGAAAATGCTTTTAATAAAGAGCAGTTATCTTTTTTATATGATTAATGATCAATACACGCAGTGCTCTTTATATAGAGAGCCCTTTACAAATACAATCCACTAAATCCCTATAATAATGCAATTATTCAAAATAGCAACAGAAGCCAGATTATTTGGTTAAAGTATGAAGCTTTTATAAGAGCCAGTTTAATCTTTTTTATATGATTAATGAATTCAATACACGCAGTGCTCTTTATATAAAGAGCTTTACAAATACAATCCACTAAAATCCCTAATAATAATGCAATTATTCAAAATAGCAACATTAAAGCCAGATTAATTTTGGTTAAAAGTATGAACTATTACCAAGTCAAAGATACCTGCTGCAACAAAGATATCAGGATAACAAAATATATTCTTGTTGTGAAAAATAGGAAAATATTAGTCAACCTTATAACCCCTTTGACAACCTTATACCACCATATTTTCCGTTAACAGGTTTTATTTAATTTGCACAATCACACTTAACACCTTATATCAGCTGTGATTGCTAACATCCCCCCTCAAACTTGGCCGGGGTTTGAGGCGAAGTTTGCTCCGAAAATTTGCAGGAGCAGATTTATGAATTGGTTTAGTGAAGATGTCAGCTACCTGTTGAGTTGTGGGAATGTACTTAGTTACAAGAAGTCCTTGTGCAACACGTTCTCGAACAAAGTGATAGTCCAACTCGATGTGTTTGCTTCGTGCATGGAAAACGGGATTGACAGTGAGATAGAGAGCACTAAGATTATCACAAAACAAAATTGGAGGAATTGTAATGGGAATCGAGAATTCTTTGAGCAAATATGTAAGCCAGGTAAGCTCAGTTGCCGTGTGCGCCATGGCTCTATACTCTGCCTCCGTACTCGATCGGGAGACCGTGTGCTATTTTTTTGCACACCAAGAAATCAAATTGGAGCCGAGCAAAGTGCAGTAGCCTGTGGTGGATCGTCTAGTGACCAGACATCCGGCCCAATCAGCATCAGCAAATCCTTGAAGCGTTAAGGTGGAATTGGAAGTAAAGTGTAATCCATGATCAAGAGTGCCTTTCACATAGCGGAGAATGCGGTGCACAAACTTCATATGAAAACTTCATATGAATGACCGTCGGATCGTGCATAAACTGCGAAACAAAGTTAACACTGAAAGCAATGTCAGGACGTGTTAGAGTGAGATATTGTAAAGCACCAACAATGCTACGATATAAAGTGGCATCAACTGAAGCAGCAGCCTTGGTAACTGGCGGTTGAAGCTCCAAGGGTGTCGACTTGGGCTTACTATCGATCATACCAAATCTGTCAAGTAACGTTAATGCATAGTGAAACTGATTCAAGAGTAAACCATCAGACGTATGAGTAACTTCAATGCCTAAAAAATGATGCAACTGTCCTAAAAAATGATGCAACTGTCCTAAATCTTTCATGGCAAATTCCTTACATAATAACTGAACAAACCCATCAAGTAAAACAGCGAAAGAACCTGTTAGCAACATATCATCGACATAAATTAACAATGCAATCATTCCTTTGGAGGACTGAAATATGAACAGAGACGGATCAGCTAAGCTGCACACAAACCCATACGAAACCAAAAACCTACTCAACCGATCAAACCAAGCCTACCAACCGATCAAACCAAGCCGCCGGAGCTTGTTTCAAAACCATACAAATGCTCTTTTTCAGTTTACAAACATAATTTGGAAAACTGAGAACATCTATCAATGAAGGTTGAGCCATGTACAAATCCTCTGTAATATGTCCATGCAGGAATGCATTTTTCACATCTAATTGCCTAATCTACCATTTACGAACCAAAGCAATAGACAAAACAAGACGTATTGTACCTGGTTTTATTACTGGAGAGAACGTTTCTGTAAAATCTTGACCATCAACCTGATGAAAACCTTTCGCTACCAGCCGTGCTTTCAACCGATCTAAGTCACCATCTGATTTGAGCTTGGCCTTGAAGACCCATTTAGACTCGATGACATTCATGTTTGGATGCCTTGGAACCAAAGTCCAGGTTTCATTTTTATGAAGAGCAGCTATCTCCTCCTCCATAGCATGCTTCCAACCAGGATGTGCCAGAGCTTGTCTGACTGTTCGAGGTTCTTTTAGAATGGATGAATCGACAGTTGTAAAAAGAGCATACCTGGGATTAGGTTGAACAATGCCTGATTTTGATCGCGTCACCATCGAATGTTGTGGTGCAGAAGGATCATTGTGTAAGTTTTCTGCCACAACTCCAGCTTGCCGAACTTCCTCTTGGTGTACGGACTGAACAGAACCACCTGATGTGGGTGACTGCGAACCGTCGAACGGACTAGGAGCTGCAGGTGAATTGGGTGGTGTTGTATCTGAAAACATCGGCATATTGTGAGAAGAAATTGAATCCGCTGAGAAAAGAAATTGATCCGCCAGGGTTGCACTAGATTCCGAATTGGGATTGAGGGGCGAATATGACGTCAGCCGGTGCATTAGGGACTGTGGTGGTGAAAATTCGACGGCGACAGTAGGCGATGGTTGAGAATGATCGGTCTATTTGCTGAATTCATATGTGTTAAATTGAGGTGGGATGGTGGCGAGTGATAAAATACGCAGGTGTAGGCAGAGGTGTTGTGATTGTTGAGATGGGTTGCTCTGTGTGTGGCTCAGTAGTTTTTGGGGTAGTTGTCCAGTAGTCTATAATTTTACCAGCTTGATTAATGACATCTGTACCTATACTGGACTTGTAAGGAAAACATTCTTCATCAAAAGCAACATTCCTGGATATTATATATTTTCGATTATGAATGTCAAAGCACCTGTACCCCTTATATTTTTCACTGTAACCTGCAAAAATACAGACAATAGATTTAGGATCAAACTTTTTTTTTTTTTGAGTCCCACATATACGGAAAGCATTTACACCCAAAGACACGTAGAATGGAGTAATCAGGATGTTTTTTATGTAAGGCAAAATACGGTGACTTAAAGGAAAGAGACGACGACGGTAACCGATTGATAAGAAAAACAACTGTTGCAAAAGCATCCATCCATAACGACAAAGGAACACGACTATGAAATAACATAGACATTCCTAATTCACGAATTATGCGATGACGACGTTCTACCGCACCAGTTTGTTCAGGCGTATATGGGCAGGAGATTTGATGCATTATTCCGAGATTTGATGCATTATTCCAGTTTCAAAGAAAGTGTGGTAGTTTAAAGGCCCATTATTAACAAATTCACCTCCTACATCTGAGTGAAAATTTTTAATTACAGCATTATATTGAACGCTGGCTGAATAAATTTTTCGAAAGCAATAAAAGTAGAATAAAAATCTGATTTCATACGCAATGGAATTAGCCAAACATATTTAGTGCAGTCATCTACCAAGCAAGCATAGAATTTAAAATTTTCAAGAGATAAAACCGGAGTCGGTCCCCATAAATCACAATGAATTTTTTCAAACGGAGCAGATGTAGAGTGAGAACTATTTGAAAATGGAAATCGACTAAGCTTTCCTAGTTGACAACTATCACACAAATTTTTTATTTTTAAAGGACCATTAATAGAAATGAGGCCCTTATTATGTAAATTATTTAAAGCTGAAACTTGCGGATGTCCAAGCCGTTGGTGCCATCTGCACTGCATGACTTAAAGCGAAAAGAAAAATGTGCTTCTAGATTGCTTGAAATAGTGTATAAATCACCCTTCTTTGGTCCTTGCATTATCATTGCACCTATTTTCCGTTCCTTCACAATAAAAGATTTGTCAGTAAATTCACAATTGACAGGAAATTGAGAGGTTAACTGACTTACCGATAACAAATTTTTCTTTAAACTAGGAACATATAACACATTAGACAAAGGCAACACATGATTATTTTTCTTAATTTGAGAAGTACCAATACCAACAATAGGAATAGAAAAGGTACCAATACCAAACAATAAGGAATTGAAGATCCATCACGCTTATAATAACCTCATCACTACTTTGTAATTTTTGTAAATTTGACACATACCTCCATTTCCAGCCAATATGATTTTGTGGAGCGGTATCCGAGGTCCAATTCATGGTCAGCTACCTATTATCCAATGTCAAAATGTCGCCAAGGCTTGTGGAAGATCATTGAACCGGGAAGAAGGTTGAATCCACCAAGCATGTTTTGCAATAAATGCCCTTTTCTTGTAACAGATTTGAACATATCCTCATTTTGGTACAGTTCCCGGCTCTGTGGCAGTCATCCGTCGTTTGCAGGAGGGGCGGGACGACGTTTGTTTGGCCGCCATAATTGTTTTGACTCTGTGCTGGAAGCCACGTCCTCCTGCAGAAGAGAAAGATGACCGAGAGGATTTGTTCTCGAACACCATTTGAGACCCGCTAGATTGAGGGGTTTTTTTCTGCTGCGTGTAAAAAGCCAAGTGTGGTGAGTGCACTGTAAATGAGGAATTTCCAGAATTGGCAAACCAACTCCGTCTTTGATCATGATTTTGAAGGTGCGAAATCAACTCTGAGTATGTGGGTCTTGGAGGTTTCAGCATTGTGGTTGTGAAGGTCTCATATTGGGGACCTAAACTTGTCAATAAACTGTAAACTTTCTCTTTTTCTAAAACTGGGCGTCCAATGGCAGCCAAGCTGTCACATATATTTTTGAATTTGCTGATATGAGTATTGATATCCACGTTGTCTTCTTTGCGCAGATACGTCAATTGTTGGCAGAGGGTAAATTCACGTTCCTGCGAGTCTTGGGCATAAGACTCTTTTAGCCATAAGACTCTTTTAGCGCTTCCCAAACATCATATGCTGTGTCTTGGCCAATAACGAGTCCAAGGGACTCTTCAGATAATGTGCCAATAATCCATCCGCCAAGCAAGCAATCTGCTTTCTACCAGACAGTATAATTTTGTATAGCCTGATCCGTAGCTTTGTCGGAGTTGGCTGGATTGGTTTGTGGTGGATTTGTAAGGTGGTCTAAGAGATCTTGGCTTTTGGCTAGCCCAAGGACTTGCTCACGCCATAGGAGGTAGTTATTTGGAGTTAATTTAAGGGTAATGAAGTTACCTACATTCAGTGATAGGGATGAAGAGGCTATTAAGGCCATGAAATTCCTGGACGTAATGCTCTGATACCAAGATAGAAAAAGCTGTTTTAAAGAACAGATGAAATGAAAATGCTTTTAATAAAGAGTAGTTATGTTTTTTTATATCATAAATAATCAATACACGCAGTGCTCTTTATATAATAGAGAGCCCTTTACAAATACAATCCACTAAATCCCTATAATAATGCAATTATTCAAAATAGCAATTATTCAAGATATAGCACAGAAGCCAGATTTTGGTTTTAAAGTTGAACTATTACCAAGTCAAGAACCTGCTGCACAAATGAGCATATCAGATAAACCTAAAATATTTCTTGATATGTGAAAACAGGATAATTATCAAACCTTATAAACCTTTGACCAAGTCAAGAACCTGCTGCACAAAGATATCAGATAACCAAATATATTCTTGTTGTGAAAAACAGGAAAATATTAGTCAACCTTATAACCCCTTTGACAACCTTATACCACCATATTTTCCGTTAACAGGTTTTATTTAATTTGCATAATCACACTTAACACCTTATATCAGCTGTGATTGCTAACATCCCCCCTGGGGCACTCGTAATCGTAGTATAGACAACAATAGAATAGCTTAAACTAACAAAATACTTCAAACTATGCGATTTATTGCAAAATCACTCTAAAATTATTTTTATGCCTCCAGCATCCCATTTGAAAACTTAGATATTAACACCCTAGTTTAAAAATTAAACCATAAAAAGACTGAAGTTATATTTAATAATGGATCTACTGATTTACCTTGGGTTAGTTTAACCTAATGAACCAAAAACTCATTATTTTGGAAATTATTATTATTTAATTAAATAAATAAATAATAAGATAATATTATAATTCTTTTTAAAATTTTTTTTAAACCCGCAGAAGGGATTCTCTTACAAGGAAAGGGTCGTGCAGAGATTCAATGTATATTCACTCACATCTTGTACGGTAATCTTAAGAATAAAAACCCATCAAAACCATATTTTGTTTCAATCTAACCATGTCGGTCTCTCCAAATCCTTCAAAATCTAACTCATTTGCCAATACTTTTCAATTTTAACAATATCCATTTCACTATTTAATCCAAATATCACCATTATATAGTAATAGGAACAAATTTTAATCTGTACCAAGCGAACCAAGTAACCGAACAACATAAACAGCCGAGTAATTAATTAAGATCGAACATTGTCCAGATTCATTTAAATACAACTAAAATTCAGTCAACAAAGTCATTAAAGATCATTAATTGCTAAGATTCTTGCTCGGCATTGATAGTCAATATTCATACCATAAATATATGTAATCAGTTACAATTTGAGATGTATTATAAATAAATGTATGAGAATCTAGAAAAATCATCTGATTCTCAAGAAAATAGTCATATTCCTACTTCTTAAGAATCTCTTAAGTTGGCTTCTATCAGATATAGTGAACATCGATCCCTCCAAAAATAAAGAAAATGGAAGGATGAACCACATTTGGTGTCTTGAAGCTAAATCTTAATTGGACTTCGTTGAGGGTGCTTTTGCAGAACCAGCGTTTGGAGATGGTGCCTGTGCGGGCCCTCCTGCTGATGATGGTTTTTGTTGCGAGTTTCCTGAAATTAATTCTTCAATGCCCCTGATAACAAACAAACACATTAATGAAATCATTTTTTTAAATTTATTTTTCTTCAATAATTTTAAACAAGGTCCTTACCCTAATTTATTCTTGAACCAAGTACCCCATGTTGCGCTGGAGCCATCGCCTTGATTTTTCTTTGCGGTTTCCGGTGAAGCGGTAGTTTCCTCCTTCTTTTCATTAGAATCAGTGGCTTTGGCTTCATGGACGACCCCCTTCACTTCCTCAGCTGCCTTGTCGATTTGTTCATAAATGCTTGGATTTGAGCTTTCTTCGCTAACAACTGAATGAGTTGACACGAAAAGTACCAATGCGAGAGCCAAAACGAAAATCGCAACCTTTGCCATCTTTATTTTTTATTTATTTTTTGTTTTTTTTCTTTGGATTTTATTTGATAAATATGTTTTGATGATTTAAAATGTGATTTGGTTGCAGTATTTATAGTGCTTGGATTTACTATATTGGTGGAGCTGGAGGAAAATTCGTGCGATAATTTTTGAGTCTTGACCATTTCTCTCGCATAAAATTGTTATTTTTTTTTTAAATAGCTTCTCTATTTATTTTCTTTGGATGAGCATCAGTTTAATATTTCAATTGATTCATAATATAGTGCTTAAATTGCGGGTTTTAGCCCAAAAAGACGAAAAAAAAAGGGTGAAAGGAAGAAAAATCCTCAATTTAAGAGAGCCAGTGACCGAGCCAAGGGGATTGAAGTGGGCCTCGGTTTCTTTAATTTTGATAATATTGTAATGCGGCAAGTTACGCTATGGATTCTCTAGTGCAGTGGCAAGACTCTTGAATTTTCCATTTTAGGTCCAAGGATCGGCGACAACAGATGCAGTTGTTTTTTGTGTTTTTCTAGGTTTTTTTTCTGTTTAGTTATTTTAATTACTACTTGTAATATAGATTTAGTTTAAATATACATACATAAACAACCACACAAGATTCCACAATTTTGATAAATTATTTTTTGTTGCCTTTGAATGACTTATATCATTAATTTTAATTTTAGATTATTTAATTTTACATTCTTTTTTAAATTTTAAATTTTAATTTTCAATTTAATTTTTATTCTATGAATATAAAATTCAAATTAATATTAAAGTATATAATTGTATTATAAATTTATATTTTAATTCTTTATTATTGGTTATTTAATTAAAACTTAACTACTCAACAAAATTGTAGAATTCTAAATTTATTGAATAATCACATGATATTTAATTTATTCAAAGAAATGAATTTAATATTTAATTCATGATTCTATTTTCATATTTTTTAGAAAATAATATGAAATTGAATTGATTGAATTTTAAAATTACAACAACATATTTAAAATATTAAATATTAATAGTTATTTTCATTGTAATAATTGATTGATTGAATTAATTGAATTGATTGAATTTTAAAATTACAACAACATATTTAAAATATTAAATATTAATAGTTATTTTCATTGTAATTTTTAATATGTAAATTTTAGGAAATTGTTTCTTTCCTATTGAAAGTTATGTATACTAAAAAAATCTCTATTATTTTGTTGTCATTTATACTATTTTCACTAAAAAATTTTGACCGCATATAATATATTTATTTATGTAATTATACTAATTTTAAATGATTTTTTAATCAGATTTATTTTTTATTCGTCGTGAAATGACAAATGTATTCCCTCCCATGAAAAAATTATGGCTCCGTCACTGAAGGGAGCAATAGAATTAGATGGATCATCCACTTGATCCAGATTAACTTGATCACTATCTACTTGGTCTTGATCAACTTGTTCACCACCTACTTGATTTTGATTAACTTGCTCACCAATTTTTTTCAGAAGGTAGATCTTGCGGATCTTCAGGAGGAATAACGAAAGGTGATAAGTGTTATTTTTATAGTATTTTTATTGTGATTTTGATTAAAATTTCTATTGCTTTCAATTTATTTAAAGTAGTTTTTATGAAATATTAATATGTTTTTATAAAAGCTTCCTTGAACCACAACTCACTTGATTGAAAAGAATATTGTAGGGTTTTGCAAGAAAAGGACAAAGAACAGGCAAAAATTCAAAAGGCACGCCCCAGCCCGTGCTAAGGTGCACAGCCGTGCCTGGTGCAAAGCAAAACAAGCCAAAGCCAAAGGCGCACGCCCAGGCCGTGGCCCCAGCACGCCCGTGCTCGCGTGCTTGAATCAGAGACGTCGCCTGTGTAGCTGAAGCACGCCCGTGCCGCAGCGCTAGACTTCCAGAGAGATGCACGCCTCAGCCCGTGCCATCCCGCACGGCCGTGCGTGCTATCACCCAGACTTCCAGGAGACTGCACGGCCAGACAGCACGCCCGTGCGCGCTAGCTTACCAGACCATGCTACGGAACACGGCCCGTGCCAAAGCCTCTAAACCTCTAATTTTATGAAGCTAATCCTTGGACAACTTTCCTCAACATGCAACCCAAGCTTCTCCTCATATGCCATGGCATCGGGCTCATAATTGAAGAAAAATAATTGAAGAAAATGGAGACCAAAAAGAGAGCTTTACAACCTAACAAAAGAAGACTTTGATGATTAGACCATGTGGAATCCTCTCTCAAAGAAGTCTATAGAAAAGAAGAGTAGGGAGATCAAAAAAAATGATCCCACTCACATATCTCACACTCCAATCTACATCTATTCTTTCTCTCATTTTTATAGCTTGTATATAGTTTATTTTTAGAAATTAAGTATTCAAGAGTTGTGAAAAGTTTCAAGGAAGCCATCCAAGCAACTTATTACTAGTTCTTATTTCTAAACTCTTAATTTTGTTTATTTCTTTCATTATTCTTATTGATTATGGTGGTAATATTTTATCAAGTATTATTGAGTTTTTGGTTTTAAGTTACTAATGTGTAACTAAATTCTTTATACTAGGGGTTTTTGATGCTAGCTTTAATCTCTTTTCCAATTTATATTGTAATTAGATTTTATTTTTCTTTATTTCAAGTTTATGATTTATTAATGAACTTAATTGCTTCTAGGCAGAATTTCCCCCTAAGATTGATTTATTTCAATTATCACTATCGGAAAGAAGGATCTTGTGATATGAAAAGCGTTAAATAAAACACATGGAGAATAATAAAACTTTGATGCGGAAGGCTATATGGTTTAACTCATGGGGGTTTTTCATAAGTTAATGACCTTAGGTTATGAATTCACAAAACAAACCATAAACTAATTGATTTAATTCATGTTTGATTGCGCTATTGGAAGAATAGGTAATTAGACGGGTTAAAATAGCTAACAATACATCGGGAGAGCTTGTTTTTAGCTGATTTTGGCGTTGTTTTCCCCTACTTGAATAATTAAATGATCAATGACTAATGAAATAAATTGGATAGAGTTAAAGTGAAAATCAAAAACCCCTATGTAGTTTTACTTTCCTTGATTTCTTTATCAATATGCTTTGCTTAACTTCTTTATTTTTACTTTGTTGAATTTAATTTCTATAAACAATTTCCTCATTTATCGTTTAAATAATAACAAGATAACATAATTTTTGGTACCTTGCGTATACAATCCCCATAATTTTGGTACTTGGTATACAATCCCTGTGGATACGATACTCTACTCACTCTATATTACTTGTAGCGATTCGTACACTTGCGAAATAAGCTGTTAAAAGGAATCTCAGAAATAAAGTCAAAATCTTCATTAGGATACCGAGCTTGGAGAGCATAAATGAATCAGTCTTGAAAGCTCTCAAGTGTGTCCACAATATTATTCAAAGCATCGTCTGCCTCCTTTTGAGCGACTGTTAAGTTATTTTTTAGCCGATCGCACTGAACCTTTTAGTTTAAACTTTTCTCGCTTGGTAGACAATTTGACTTACTCTAGCTCTATCTTTTCCTTCTCCCATTGCATACTTCTCGAGCTAGTGATTAATGCCTCGTCTGTAACTTTCTTGTACTCATCATTAAGAAGGTTCAGTTGCTCCTTCAAAGCTCACATCTTTTTGCTGTGAGTTGTGGCACTTTTATCCAACATTTTTTCTTTAGCAGTCTCCACTAGTTGAATAGCCTCATTCTTAGATACTTCAAGTTTAGCGCAGTAACCGCAGAGGTCATGAACTCTCTTTCTCATACAGCAACTTGATGAACAAGCTATTACACAAAAAAGAAAGGGAATAATAAAAAAAATGTTGAGATAGCATGAAAAACAACAGCAATAAAATACTTATAGAAAAAAGGTTACAGTTCATACTATTGAAGATAGTATTTTCTTCCATGGAATCAATATAATTCCAATCCTGAGAAAAGAGTGATAACCATGCTAACTCCCTAATCACTGAACTTTGAGAGCATGACATTGTAGATCCATAAACATCCTTGATATATCCTGCTACATCTGGCCGAGCAGGCTTTGGCCAAGCAACCTCTTCAGAAGTCTCTGTTCAAGATCTCTTTTTCTCTCTAACAAGAGGAATATCATCCTCAACTGAAATATGAAGAACTTCAACTTCTGAAGGAGTGGCAAATAAAGTAGAAAGGTCAGTGGCATCATTTAGGCTCGTCCCTAATTCAAGAAGCCTGGTGTCCTCAAAAGTAACTGGATCAGTTGGTGTCATAGCCCTGACCTGGTTAGTATTGTCCGCTTTGGGGCGTTACGTATCGCCGTCCCCCTCACGGATTTGTCCCTCAGGCAGGCTTTGCAACCCACTATTGCAAACCCACCCAAAAGGCGCCTAAGCAATTCAGAGTGTGGGCCCTGCCTTTGGTTAGAATTGTCCGCCTTTGGAGAGTTACTAGCTACATTCCTCCTCACGGGCTTTGTCCCTTGGCGGCGTTACGTATCGCCGTCCCCCAAGAGCGCGCTAACCAAGTTAGAAGACTACCCCTCTTATGTACAGGACCACCCCCTCGTACTTAACCGATGTGGGATTTGCCTAGGTGTCACATACACCCCCCTTTTAGGGGACTCAGCGTCCTCGCTGAGGTTTGCCCCACCACCGGCCAGAGGGAACGAGGGGTCGACTCTGATACCAACTTGTCCAAGCCTGGACCTGGTTTAGTATTGTCCGCTTTGGGGCGTTACGTATCGCCGTCCCCCTCACGGATTTTGTCCCTCAGGCAGGCTTTGGCAACCCACCAACAAAAGCGCGCTAAGCAATTCCAGAGTGTGGGCCCTGCCTTGGTTTAGGAATGTCCGCTTGGAGAGTTACTAGCTACATTCCTCTCACGGCTTTGTCCCTTGGGGGCGTTGCATATCGCCGTCCCCCAAGAGCGCGGCTAACCAAGTTAGAGACTTACCCCTCTTATGTACAGGACCACCCCCTGTTACTTAACCGATGTGGGATTTGCCCTAAGACGGTGTCAACATAAGCCAAAATAAACATGTCACACCTTTACCCTACTGTAAGACATGGCATTGTCGCCCGTAAGTAAATTAAGTAAGCAA